ATATAATGGCACAAACAAAGAAGTTAATGGTTCATAAACCAGTTGCCAACCTTCCTCCCCATCCACAGAGAACCAGTAAACAGCTTACAATCATCAGCGAATAAACTACCAATTATTTATGGTCTCTCAACAAGCAATATAGATCCGGGTCACACTTTAAAGTATAGGCCAATGACATATTTGTATACAAGATACCTCTTAGAAAATTAAAAAAAAAAAAATTGTAACACTTCAAAGTGCATAAACAAATATCAAAATAGAGCCAAACATGAAGCTTGGTAGCTTGGCCAACCCAGCCTGGCCTAGCTATACTAGGTAAGATTGAACTAGGCCAAAAAAATATTTCGAGCAGGCCAAGCTTTGTGGTAAGCATTTTGGTCAGCTTGGCCAAACAATATGTGTGCGCACGTGTGCATAGAGGACTTCTGTGAAACCTTTTCTTTCTTTCTTTGTCTCTGCTATAGTTCTTATAGCAGAAACAAGAGAAGAGATTAATTGCAAACTTGAGTTATGGAGGAGGACATTGGAGTCGAAAGGTTTTCGTCTGAGTAGAAGTAAGACGGAATATTTATATTGTAAATTTGGTAAAGGACTATTCGACAATAATTTGGAAGTGAAATTGGAAGACCAAATTATACCTCAAGTAGAAAAGTTTAGATATTTGGGAGCCATTATTCAAAATGATGGCGAAATCAGTGGAGATATTTCACATAGAATTCAAGTTGGGTAGTTTAATTGGAGAAAAGCTAAAGGAGTTATTTGCGACCGTAAGCTGCCTAATAAACTTAAAGGAAAGTTTTATTGCACTGCTATCAGAGGCACGGCAATGTTATATAGTAGTGAATGCTGGTCTCTAACGGGACAGCAAGAGCATAAAGTTGGAGTAGAGTAGCAAAGATGAGAATGTTACGATGGATGTGCGGACATACACATAAAGATAAAATTCGAAATGAGCACGTACGCAAAAAAGTAAGGGTGGCACCTATTAAGGAAAAAATTATAGAAAATCGGTTGAGATGGTTTAGGCATGTACAAAGAAAACCAAGGGAGGCACCAGTGAGAAGAGTGGGACATACAACTTTGAGTCCGATTAAGAGAGGTAGAGGAAGGCCTAAGAGAACACTCTTGGAAGTTATTGAACGCGATCTCTTAATTAATAATATTCCTAAAAGCTTGATAAATGATAGAGCACAATGGCGTCTTGCAATCCATGTAGCCGACCCCACCTAATAGGATAAAGGGCTTGTTGTTGTTGTTGTTGTTGTTTGTTTTTTTTTTTAGGATAAGAGCAGTATGCAATTTTACAAGAACTTATTTACGAAATATTTTTCTTTCTTAATAGAGGAAATATGCAATTACTAAGACTTGAATGAAAACATCATTTCTTTTGGGGCCAATTTTTATTTTTACTAGAAGAAGGCCCAACATCACCTTACTAACCCAACTCCAAACAAATGTGTGGCTCAACCTCAAGAAGCACAAAATGCACAGCACTCACAACCACCACTTCCAATAGTCAATCCGGGTTGGACTTATTTAGATCGAGCTTAATTATCATGCTCTCTTTAAAAAGCCCATATAGCTAAATCCAACTCTAACTTTTTTCAGTCAGGTTCAAGTTGGCCCGTCAGGCTTAGCAGAAATTACCAACTCTATAAACATATAAAGCTAGAGATTTCAGCTATTGAGCTTATTCAGGTCAAGCTTATTTGAATCGAGCTTAATATCCTGCCTTTTTCAAAAAGCCCATATAGTCAAGCTTGACCCTAACTTTTCGGGCTGGCCTGAATTACCTGCTCTAAGTCAAATACCAACAACAAAAAATTATTGGGAAGCAAAACTTTCAAAACTTGACAATGAGAAATAAAACAAGATCCGAATAGTCCTAGTGAACAAGTCAAATCAATTTTAAATGAAGCAGTAAGCAAAGATTGCAGATTGGTTCAGCTCTTGAGAATTCAGATAAAGATTGTCTGCAACTTTTGACATGCCAGGAAATTTGGAGTTGTTATACCATTGGATGCCTACTACCTTATTCCAATTTTCCCTTCTCTCAAGTCATAATAATAAGGAAATTAAACACCATATGAAAAAACATAAAACATACCAGTCTCTCTTGAATGTATTTCCTCACTAGAAACACGCTTTGTCCATTTCCTACCAGGTAAAGATCGCCTTTTTTGCCTTTTCAAATTATTTTTCTTCTCTAGATCTCTTTCTTGGGACTGAGAAACTTTTAGTGGTACTTTGAGTCTAACAAAAGGATGGGTCGGTGGGTCAAGCTTCGGGAGATCTTCAGACTCAAGCAACTTGGTGGTTGGGCGAGCTCTTGCTGCCTCAGATATTGATTGGGCAGCTCTTTCAAGACTAGAAGAAGCAAGATCATCAGTCTTTTCTTCCTGACTTGCATCATAACTACTAGATGTTTCTGATTGTTGAAAGCGGCGCTCAAAGCCCTTCAGGTTAGAAAATGGGGTCAAAATCCCTTTCCTTACCAATTGGTCCCTTTCCTGAAAAAATGAAGCAAAAAAAATTAGCTCCTCCTCTTCTCTATTTACCAATAGCATCCTTCACATTTGATTCATTCTTACCAACTTATAACATCAAGGAAAATGTCTTTTCCTGTCTTATCACAGATTGAGCAACAAGCTAGAACACAAGAATGTAAGTAACTCACAGTCTCAACAAAGCCTGCCGAGGCAGCATCTAAAACTGCATCAAAATCAACATCATCATTAAATGAAACTGTTTTATGCCGTTTCCCTGAGCCTTTTGGTAAACTTTTAACTTCTTTAGGCTTCCTCTTTGATCTTCGCTCTTCCTCAACCAAATTAAAGATCTCGTTCTCTTTGTCCTGATCAATACTCTTGCAAGGCTTCTTCTTGAACAAATCTGAAAGATCCTTTTCTAGTTGAGCCTTTGTCTTCTTTAGGCTTTCTAACCTATCAGTAGCAAGAACATGTTGAAGATTCAAATCATTAGAAGAATTATCCTTGGTAGTCCCTTGCTCCCTGTTGTCAGGACCTCCATCAATACAATCTCCATCACTTTCAACATTTCTCACTTCTTGGATAGTGGAAGCAACTGCATTTATTTCAAAATCTACTGCCCTCAACTTATGATAAAGTTCTGCTTTGCTAATAGATGATGGACCAACGTTTTCATATTTCTGAGGAGATTCTTCCTTTGAGCTCCTATCAGCTTCAATAATGGTCACCACGTCATTCCGTGCCTACAAGTTAACAATCTCCATGATCAAATTTTTAAGATTTGGTTTACATATAATTTCCCAAGCAAGACAAATGAGATCCTACATATGCCATATTCAGTTGCAATTAAATTTCAACATCAAGTTTCTCATGAGAGTTTTCAAACATATTAACAGAGAAAGAACTGGGAGTTAGCAATGCTAGTGAAATTTTTCTGGAGGCTTATTAATCCTTATTCCTTATCTATCATTTAGTAGTAAATTACAAATCACGCTTGATAGCAGAAAAAAGTCCATGGAGATACTTCCTAACTTATTAGTTAAATCAAAAGGATATCCTTTGAAACCATCCAACTATATATATACATATATATATTTCTTTTCTTTAAGATGCCTAAATAGCAAAGACCTAAGAATTGGCTGGCTATTCATCGAGAGGTTTTCATCTTACATTCTAAGGACAACAAACCTGAATACAAGCTCAAGCTCTTTACTTTGAATCTGCATCACAATATTCTATTTTTACTACTTCTTTCTTCGCTTTTCACAAATGTTGTCATAGGACCATATAAAATTGAATTAGAACTCTATCCTAGTTTTAAGCTGATACATTTTCCCTCGCATAACTAAAAGGCGCAATGAAATTTGAGGTTAAATTAAAAAATCAACCTACCCATAGATTGCAACTAAGTAATAACTAGCTACATCTGTTTCTTCAAGATGCAATTGGACGGCAAAAGAGAATCCAGTGGGGTGTTTCCTTTTAAAATCGAATAGCACGCAGCAGTTTTTACAGAAACCACAATGAAAAGGGAAAACTACCAAGCTACTTCGATTCGAATCAAATCTATTTCCCGGCCAAACAAAATTTCAGACTATTTTCGTAGGCTGTCCTTAAAAGTTCACCAATATAATGGCGGCAATACAAATGACCCTAGCGGAGGCAGTTGGTAAAATCGAAACTTGAAAGGAACCAAAAAGCTAATGGCTCAGAACCAGGACCTGATACCTCAGCTAATACGTCTCTTTCGATGCATTCATGATTGGCAGACTCTACGCCCAAAATATTAAGCAAAACCCTGTCCTCATCTTCCTCCATAATATTATTACACACCAACCAAAGCCACCTACAAGAGATAAACATGGATAATCTCAGCACACTAAAGCAGCATTTGCTTTCTTCGGGACCAAACCCACAGTGTACTACGGCCAATTTCAATTTCATAGAATTACCAAGTTCAATTGCCAAAAACAGAACATGGACAAAAACCCTTGCTTGCTTCTAGGCTCGATCAGGTATCGACCGTTCAATTTCATAAATTATTTTACAAGACTCAAATTCGCAAGTATCGAATATAAGTTAGACAAGCTTTGATCCGAAGAGATGATGCTGTCACCACCTCCTCTACCGGTTCGCGCTTCCCGCGAGCATGCGACGTCTTCAACTCATTTAGTCGTCTTGGGCCGAAAAAGAAAACAATGCATGGGCGGTGTTGCTTCTTGCGCAAGGTGTAAGCTGGCCCCACATTTCATGTCGTTTTATAGGCAAACCAAGGGTCTGTGTCGTTTTAATGCATATTTTACCAAACTGACGTCGTTTCTTCCATTTCCTCGTCGTTAACTGCCTTCATTACCAACGACCTCAAGCGCAGACGTGTTGCTAATTCAACCACATTGGCATGGACGGGGACAAGCTATCATAAAGGGGAGTAAGGGACCGATCTGAATGTCACTCATCATAATGGCCGACGACGAAGGAACTCGGAGGCAGAGATTCGAATATAAGGACGAAGATGACAATGAAAGCTGCAGAGGAATTAGAGTGTGTGGTATGCAATTCGCCTACGATGGGCAACCACCACTCTTCGTCGACTTCAACCTTAAGATCTCTACTGGATCGCGATGCCTTCTAGTTGGTGCCAATGGATCCGGTAACGCAGTTCCCTCAGACACTCTTCCTCTTTAATCTGATTATTTCTTTCCCAACAATAGTCTGCATAAAGTTGTGAGAAGTGTCTGTTGATTCACAAAGAGCTTCGGAGTCAAATCACAGCCGTCTACTGATCAATGCACATGGAATAAGTGTCCCATTATAACCTTTGCCGATAGTTCGGAAAATTTTAATATCGTATGCGAATGTATCTTGGAGTTGAACATATTGTTCCAGTGTAGAAGTGCAACTCCACCTGTTATTCTACTGGGCACTGGCTAAGATTAGGCCAGAGAGAGAAGAGAACTAGAACGTAATTTGATTCAGAATTGCTCCTATCTGCAGGGAAGACCACTTTGCTGAAAATTCTGGCTGGCAAGCATATGGTCGGAGGAGGAAGAGATGTTGTAAGGGTGTTAAATTGTTCCGCTTTTCACGATACTCGACTGGTTTGCAGTGGTGATCTCTCCTATTTGGGAGGATCCTGGAGTAAATCCGTTGGTTCAGCAGTGAGTTTCTAGACTCTGGTCTCAATGTAATTTCCTTTTTGATGAAGAGTTATTACCGTGATAAAAATGGTAGAAGTTTGCCTATAAGGTGCAAAGCTATTAAAAGTAAGGTGGACACTGGATGGTGAATACTTTCAGATGTACAGTCTCAATATTCTTGCAGCCAGCGTTATTAGATAGTTATTTAACTTGTTCAAACAGTGGTTACTTTACTGAACAACTGTGCATAGCCAACATGGTTTGTGTGATATGGACTTAAGTACAAACAAGAGTTTGGTGCTGATAAATTTTTGAAACACACTATCAATAATTGAAGGTCTTGAACTCTTGCGATTTTTTATGAGATTTTTATTTTACTGATATTTCCCCCATGAAATGTATTTCTATGCTTTGTTCAATTTCTATCTTAATCTTGATTTCATTGTTAATATTCAGGGAGAAATTCCACTGCAGGGAGACTTTTCAGCTGAACATATGATATTTGGAGGTAGGTTATAAATTAATTTTCGTTGTTGCCAAATGCATCTCCGAACTTAATCGAGAGGATAGGATCATGCATCAACTCGGAATCCTTCAAGTAGCTCTTATTGGGTGGGATGGTTTTGAGATCATGCTATGTCTTTTTCGACACTCCATGGTGTTAAAATCAATGATCTTCATGATGTCTGGGAATTCAAAATCAGAGTGTCTGGGTAACTGTTAGATATATTTGTGATTAAGTTGCATTGCCACCTTCTTTTGTTACAAATGTCCAATACAATATAGGTGTCCCTTTCTTTTTTGGCAGTTGAGGGCACAGATCCTGAAAGGAGAGCTAAGTTGATTGAGCTTCTTGATATAGATCTACAGTGGCGAATGCATAAGGTATCAGATGGGCAGCGACGCCGAGTGCAAATTTGCATGGGTCTTCTTCATCCATACAAGGTATCAATGATTAATATTCTAGAAAATTTTGTATGGTCGTCATGCTGCTCTAAATAATTTCAGTGTCATCTGTATGGTGGGACTGCTTGTTTCTTTACTCCAAGTTTAAAAAATGGACTGTTGCCTTTCCCATAGCCAGTACTTCAGGTCATATCTTGACTTAGAAGTGTTATTTCTATATGGCTTCATTAAAAGATTATCTATTAAAATTACTGCCAGTTTGATACCTTATAGGAACTCTTAAACGACATTTCAGGTTCTCTTGCTGGATGAGGTTACTGTGGACCTGGATGTTGTTACTAGGATGGATTTGCTGGACTTCTTCGGGGAAGAATGTGAGCAGGTGATCACTAACTCCGTATTTATGCCAAACTGGTTGTGGAGAACTGCAAAAGGGAGGACAGCCCCATGTGCTTTATTAGTTTCACGGGGGATCATAATCATAATACATCATAGTAATATTAGGGTTTTTTATTAATCTAAAGTTTCTGCAGATGGCCGAGCATGTATCTTACTGTCATTTGCAAACCAACTGTGAAAAATGTAATGCGTTGTTAAAATATGAAGATGAGATTGCTGGCTAGTGTGCCCATCTTGAACTGGCTGTGGCTGGTGCGATGGGTTTCTGAAAATTGATTATCAATTGTTGTGAGTGTTTCCTGATGTTTTCTATTGTTGTCAGAGAGGAGCTACAATTGTATATGCAACTCATATCTTTGATGGACTTGAGACATGGGCCACTCATCTAGCATACATACAAGATGGTGAACTCAGGAGGGCGGAAAAGTTATCGGATATTAGTGAGTTGAGTTGCTCGTCTAATCTTCTTTCTGTTGTTGAGTCATGGCTCCGTGCTGAAACAAAGCTTGAAAAGAAGAACCCTGTAAACCCTCCTTCCGGCATCCAAAAGACTTCTTTTGGCAGTTCTCCTTTTATTTCCTCAAGACACATGGCATATTACCGGTAGTTTCTATTGATAGAAATTTCTGATGAAAATAGTTTACGTGCAGAGACATGTGAGTAATAAATTCCTTCATGCTTGTTAAGTTTTATGTGTAAGCTAGCTTCTATTGCTATATATTTCTGATAAAAATAGTTTACTTTCAGAGGCAAATATGAGAAATCAATTCTTTCATGCTTGTCAAGTTATGTGTAAACAAGGGCGCCTGAGAGCTTCGTAGCCTGATGGACGTGTCAAGTCATCCGCCACCCCCGGGGGGGCCTTTGGCCAACGATGTTGTACAATAAATTTATCATGCCATAAATGAAACAAACTTTGCCATAGCTGGATATTTATGGCAATACGTTGTGCTAGTATTTCACCCGTGAATGGCTATCCCTATGAAGTGTTGAGCACTTGTCTTTTCCAAGTGTCAAGTTTAACGTGGAAGGCCTTGTTCTTAAATCATCCTCCGCGTTCGCGTGCTTATATTTTACTTTCGGTCTGTCTGTTTTAATTAACATTGCACATCGTAGGAATCTGAACCTCTTTGGTCTTTTGAAGTTTACCTGTTTGCAAAGGCCAAATGACCGAGGTTTTCTTGTCTCTTCGTCCATATTTGAAGACCAATGGCCATGTTTTGGGTGCCTGCTTGTTTTTAGGAAAAATAACAATTAAAGACCCCTTGAGGACATTAATCTCAAATAAAGATCATATAACATTTGAAAATTCCAATTAAATGATCCTTAGTTGAGATAAAAAATATATTTAACTTTATAAAATTGCCCATTCGCTAAACACTAAAAGGTAACAGCAAAGCAATTTATGTTGTGTTATCTGTTCTTATTTTTGGTTGTGAAAAATTTGCTCTCACTGGCAAAAAATATGGATGGAAAATTAGTAAAGTGGATCATCATATGAGTTATCATCTTCTCCTCTTTTAGTCAGGGGTACGTGCATTGTCTCTTTTACATCTTCTCCCCTGTCATACATGCAAGAAAAATTTGCAATTTTTTCTTTTTTATCTTTTATATTTCCTCTGTCATGCATACAAGAAAAAAATTTTACATCCTTGCAAGTGCTAGTTTATACCGTTTCTCTTTTATAGTTAAGAAAAAAAATAATCTTCTTGATTATTAATAGATTATACATATAGACATACACAATAAATGAATTCTGAGAAACGATAGTATTAAAAAAATTGAGTTAAAAACAAGTAAGATGTAGCATGGATATTAAATTTTTCTGTTCTCTAATAAAATTAGCATTAATGTTGAAAAATGTAACATAAATGCTGAATTCTTGTAATCATAGTTGAGATTATGGTAAGGATAGTTGTGAAATAATAAATTTGTATATTGCCTTTAGTTATTGCAAGTTTATTTTTCACATGGCAATATTTCAACAAAAAAAGTATTTTGTTATTTTCACGTTAAAGGGCATTTTGTAAAAGATCACAAGGAGAGATGACCTGTGAAGGTGAGAGACTAATTTCTAAATTGATTAGATAAGGCATAAATCATGAAGAGTTGTTGAAGATGGTGTCATCAATGATAAGAGTTAAAAATATTGCAGCCGACTTCTTCAATAAAGTTTATTTGTGTGTTGCTTTTAAATGCTGCAAGTTTATTTCTCACATGGCAAGTATTTCAACAAAAGAAGTATTTTATTATTTTCACGATAAAGGGCATTTTGTAAAAGATTCACAAAGAAAGATGACCCGTGAAGGTAAGAGATTAATTTTTAAATTAATTAGATAAGGGATAAATCATGAAGAGTTGTTGAAGATAGTGTCATCAATAATAGGAGTTGAAAATATTACAGCTGACTTCTTCAATGAAGTTTTATGTTATGAAATTAGGGACTTCATTGAAGTTAGTAACATCTTCAGTGATGTTTGTATTTTCATAAGCGATCTTGAAACATTTTAAAAGTGAGTTTTATGTTATGACAACATTTTACACTTTAAAATTTGAAATACTAAGGAAAAATCTATTCTTGAGTGAGCTTTTATGTTTTCACTGGTTATAGTAGCAATATTCCCACGCTGCGTTAGTGACTTTAGCAGCATTATGTGATAACAACATTTATACTTGCACATATTTAAACTTGAAATAGACATCAACATTACATTACACTGATTTTAATACATGTACATCATATTTGCATCATTTTTTACATAAAAAATATCATATTTACCTAACTGATACTTCTGTAGTCTTCTTCCCAGAAAACAACATAAACTGCAAATCCATTTATACAACTCATCACATCCACAAGTTCAAGAAAATATGGTATGGGTGTCTATGCAAAAAGTCATTTAATAGTAAAATTTCACTGTAAATTTTAAGTTAACTGCAATACTTTCAACTCCCATCATTGATGACACCATGTTCAATAGCTCTTCATGATTTATGCCTTTTTTAATCAATTTAGAAATTAATCTCTCACTTTCATAGGTCATCTTTCCTTGCGAATCCTTTATAAAATGCCCTTCAATGTGAAAATAACAAAATATTTCTTTTACTTAAGTACTTATCATATGAGAAATAAAACCGTAACAACTAGGAGTAACACATAAATTTATTACTTCGCAATTATCTTTGTCATAATCCCAACTATAATTACAATAATTCAGCATTCATGTTGCATTTTTCAACATTAACGCACATTTCATCATAGAATAGAAAAATTCAGCATCTATGTTACATCTTGCTTGTTTTTTACTTGATTTTTTTTAACACTATCGTTCTCATAATTCATTTTGTGTGTGTTTATATGTATAATCTATTAATCATCAAGAAAATTATTTTTTTCTTAGTTATAAAAGAAAAATGATGTAAGGCAATATTTACAAAGATATAAAAATTATTTCTTGCATGCATAGCAGAGGAGATGTAAAAGATAGAGAAGATAAAATTGTAAATTTTTCTTGCGTGCATGACAAGGAAAAAGATGTAAAAGAAGCAATGCATGTAATTACTCGTTATTAAGAGAGGAGAAGATGATGACTTATATGATGATTCACTTCACTAATTTTTCGCCCACCTTTTTCTCACCCAAAAACAAGAATAGAGAACATGACATAAGCTTCTTTACTGTTACCTTATAGTATTTAAGGAAGGGATAATTTTGTAAATTTAGATTTATTTTTTATCCCACAGTCCTTAATTAAGATTTCAAAATGTTATGATTTCTAATGGAGATTGATATCCTTAAGGGGTTCTTTATTGTCATTTTTTTCTTGTTTTTACTACCTCAATTAATTAATTGTATCATTTGAGATTTGACTATTTAATAATACAAGGCCTGCATTTTCATTGATACTTTAGATTTAAATCTTATAAAATATTTCATTTGGGCAGCATAAAAATTTTCAAACTCTGATACTTGGGTTTCTATTTTGATTTGGATTTCATCAAACAAATGTGACGACTGGGCTTGGGGTTAGGACATTCGAATTTTAGATTTAATTTTTTTACAAAAACAAAAGGGTAACAAGGTTATAACGAAAGATAACTAAAATCGATAATTTTTTTTATATTCAATAAAAAATCATTTCTATTTATTAATATAGAATAGTTAAACCTAATGTAGTGGCTATAAATAATCATTCTTAATTTTAAATTAATTTAAAAAAGAGTTAAAGTTATTTCAGTTCTATCTACTCTATATTATTTACAATTAGATTAAAGTGAGTACTTGAAATTTTAAAAGATTATAATAATACAATTTATTTTAACAGGTATTAAATTCAAAATTATCAAAATTTTATTAGCGCAAATAGTAGATTTAATTCAAGTTCAAATCTCCCATTATCCAAACACAGCCAAAAAAAAATGCTTTTTCTAGTTTTTTTTTTTTGCTCCCATCAATCTCAGACTGGACAGTTTGACTTGAATACTTTAGACTTAGAGCGCGAAGCATTGTAAAATTGGATTTTTTTTGTTGACGAAAGTAAAATTAGATTGAATGGATTAGTTGAATCAAGTAAAGTTAAAAAACGAGCGGGCCTGACTTATATGGACTAGGCCTTTATAAGCCTAAGCCTAAAAGCTCGGTTACTCAATTTCACTTAAAAGTTGAGGCCCAACCCTTATTTATGACTCAAGACCAAGCCCATAAGCCCGATTATGAAAAAATAAAATAAAATTTAACATTTTAATTTACTTAAAGTATTTTAAAATTTAAGATATGTCAAACCAAAATTTCACATAATTTAAAAAATAAACTCAAAATTTAAAAGTCCAAATAAAATAAAGACAAAAGTAATTATTAATGCTCATCAAGATCTCCCTCATCATCATCCACAAATAAAATGTTATTTCTAACTTTGTCATAGGTTTGAGAGTGAGCAACCGAGTACAAGTGTGTTGTATAGGGTTTATTTGAAGATTGAAAGTCTAACTTCAATTTGACCATTCCCTAAAATTCAACATGGAAACAAAAAAAAAATTGGCTTGACGGGCCACCCGAGCCCAAGCCCATTTTTATGGTTTAAAAGGGTCGGGCTTAGAAGCCCAATTATTCTAAAAAATATCAAATTTTTAAATTTAAAATTTTATTAAAACAAGGTTAAACGAACGATCTATCAAGTTTGACTTTTAGTTTTAACTCTAAAATCAAGTCTTTTTCTTCCTGCCAGCCAACTACTCATTGAGCTGGTGTCACTATTTGACGACAATGCCACTCCCCCCCAACTCTATTTTTTCCAACCACCTCAGTCCACCCAAAAACTTTCTATTGGCCCTGGTTCACTTATCACGGGACCATATCACACCAAACGTTTTACAAACCATGATTGATCCATGGAGAACGACTGAAGCTAATTACAATTATAAAATGCTACTAGTATGAATATAAATAAGGTAAAATAACAGTTAAATCTCCAAAATATTGAATTAATTATAGTTAAATTATCAACAATTTAAAAAAAAGTTAAAAATATTGATCCAGAAAATTATAAATCCTAAAATTTTAATTATAAATAAATATTTAAGTATTAAATATAACTCTTAGATTGTAATAAAAATTTTTATTTATACTTATTTGAATTGATATTTATAATTTATTTTTTAAAATATTTTGTGAGAAACCTAACTATCATTAGTCTAATCTTTTATAACCTGACTGTTATTTTCCTTATAAACACACCTGTGAAATGCGATTTTATTGGTGAAATATACGTTATTGATTTCTTGACCTATTTTTATAGCTGAAAGTGCACACAAGCTGTCTGGGAAATTCTTGTAAGCGATTGCAAGCACATTATTATTTTTTATTCTCATCATTTTTATCTTCTTAATGGAGAAATCATCATAAGTATGAAGAAGGACACAAAAAATGAAATGGGATGGGTGAGAAGTTAGGTGGCGCGATTGGTGGTGCAAAAAATGAATATCAAGTGACCATTGATGTAAAGCTCAGTTAATCCCCCATTATTATGCAAAACTCGATTAATTTATGCG